TAGCACTTGAGCCTGAAGGAGCCTCGTCTGTGAGTGAATTGTGAGGAACTTTCGAGCGGGAACCCCCTCCCTCAGGGCCCCGCACTTCATGTTCACATCCGAAACGGGTCATTTTCGTTCCGTGGCAGGCATAGCAGTTGAGCCCAAAACCCTCGTCTGTTTGAATGAGCTGTAAAGAAGTCTCGGAATGCAGCCCCCTTCCCTCAAGGCCCCACGCTTCATGTTCGCATCCGAAGCGGGTAATCGGCATACTATAGCAAACATAATAGTTGAGCGCCCAAACGAGCTTCGTCTGTGAGTGGACTGAGAGGAAGTCTCGAGCGGGAACCCCCTCCCAAAGGGCCCTTCGCGCACTTCATGTTCGAATCGGAAGAGGGTCATCCGCGTACCATAGCAGGTATAACACCTGAACGCACCGAAGCGCCTTGTTTGTGACTGAACTGTGAGGGAAGCTCGAACGGGAACCCCCTCCCGAAGGGCCCCGCACTTCATGTTCGACTCCGAACCATGTCATCGGCCTACAGTGGCAGGCGTAGCGCTTGAGCGCCCCATGCGGCCTCGTCTGTGACTGAATTGCGAGCAACTCTTCACGTCTTTATGGGGCCCGCAACTCATGTTACGAATCTGAGCTGGCCAGCGAAATCCTTTACTTGCCGTCGTGTTGGGCTTGGGCCCCTTTGAGCTAGAAATGGAAGGAATCCTTCCGCCACGCGCGTGCGGAACATGCTGGTCCTCCAGCCAGCCGCGTGAGAATTCCTGGAGCGCGGGCCGCCGGCGTCCTTGCGGGAGGCGGTCGGGAACTTCGACAAAAGAGCGGCGAACCCCAGGACTGAGGCGGAGCAGCTCGCGGCAGAGCTGAGCTTCGCGCTGCCTCCCGCCCGAGCGCGGCCGCGACGAGCTCTAGACTTGCGGGGTTGTCCGAACAGCTTGCCCATGTGCCCCAACGGCTCGCGGGGTTGCTCCAACGGCCTGGCCCGCGGCGTTGCCCATCGGAGATCGCACGCGTGCTCACCGAGGCGGCGACCGCACCGAGGAAAATCGCCTTGCGCGCCCTTGCAAGAGAGGCGGGGGAGGAGTTGGATGGGGGAGAGGGGCCAGGAGGACGAAAAGGATGCAGAGCAGGGGGCGGGGGGAGGGCGAACAGGAACAGGGCGAGGATAACATAGGAACAACAACTCGGCATTCACAGGGATGACGATGAGGAGCACGTTCGTGTCAGTTTGGGAGGCTCTCAGGTGGTGTCCTTCCGTCGGAATATTCATGTCTTTTTTTAAATGTATTTTTGTTGAAGTGTTCTATCTTTACATGCTTCGAGCACCTCTAATATTCGAGAGATTTCGGCTCGCGTGCGTGGCGGCTCGTAAGCGGGTGGCCCGCATTGCATTACTTTGTGCGGGTTCGTGCGCCAGGCGCATGGTAGATCAACGCGGATGCACTGCGTTGTGGGGTGAGAATGCGGGTTCTGGACGAAATTGCCAACATCATCCGCCACCGTGCCTCTGGGCACGGAGTGGGCGTGTCCTCAAATCCTTCGCCTTATCCCTGGAGCCTCAGTCCTCAATCCTAAAGAGCCTTCAAGGGGGCCCGGGCTCAAATTTCTGAAATCTCCCGGGGCTTCCCGCGTGCCCCTGGGTTTCGGCACGTCTTTTGTGGGCTCTGGCGCGTCCCCCCGCGCGACCTTTCCAGGCCCAAGAAAACCCGAAAACGGGTCAAGAGGGCCCTAAGAGGCCCCCAAGACAGTCCAAGAGTGTCCCGAGTCGCCGAAACATCGTCCCAGGACGCCCACGATGGCCTCAAGATGGCCCCAGAGGCCTCCAAGACGCCCTAAGAGGCCTCCAGGAGGCCCCCCAGGAGGGCCCTAAGAGGTACCGTCGTTTAGTTCAATTTGGCTTTTGAAAGATTTTGGCGTTCTCGCCTTCTCGGCTTTCCGACGCTCCAAGACCGCCCAAGAGGCTCCCCAAACCACCGCAAATCGGCCCATGAGGCCTTCAAGATGGCCCCAAAACGACCTAAGGGCGCCCCAAGACGCCCCAAGGTGCCCCCAAGACTGCTCAAAAGGGCCCCCAGACGGCTCCAAAACGGGCCCAAAAGATATAACACGAACCAGAAATCCGAGCATTCCGCCCCAACAAGCCCCCAGGTGGCCCCAAGAGGCCTCCCAGAGACCCCGAGGAGGCCCCAAAACGGCCCCCGAGAGGCCCCAAACCTGCCTCCAAGAGGCCCCCGAGAGTCCTCCACGAGATCCCAGCGGACATCCAGTAGCCTTCCCACCCACAACCCAGGCACGGTGGCGGGAGGGGCCAAAGGCCACTTGATTTTGATTTCATCGGATTTCGCATCCACTGCACGCGGGCAGAACACATGCAAACGTCCCACCGTCCTGCCCGCAACTTGCTTGGCAAGACACATTCGGCCATGCTTGCGACCACCGTTTGGCACTTGCTGGTGCATCTCTGCGGCCACTCTGGCGTGCGCCCGCCCGCGCGCAGAGCGCGCAGCTGGTTCGGCAGAGCTGCTGCGTCCACGATGTCGCTTACTGGTGGGAACTTCCCAGCGCGACTCAAAGGCCGCGATGGCGTGCGGGCGCTTCAGTGCGGGTCGGTGACTCGGGCGGGCGCGATGCCACGATGACGTCGGCAATGGCGACAACGATGATGATAGTAGCGATGGCTGACGGCAAAGCCAATGACGGCCCCGCTGCTGGTATAACGATGGCGATGATGAGATCCATGTGTCGGTGATGAAGGTGGTTGTGCTGCTGCTGATGGCGGCAAAAGTGGCGATCGGCGATGACAGCGGTGGTGCGATGGCGCTGATGAGGGTGATGGTGAGGAAGAGTGCGCGCGCGCAGAAATTCAGGACAACTGGCAGACTGTATGCTGCAACACCCTTAGTTCCCAACCACCCTGTGTGTTGGGTCGTCGTTTTGAAGGACATCGCCTCGCGTCACCTAATCTCCCACCTCCCTCCTGGCACCGCTTGCGGCCCCCTGGCCTATGCCGGCACACCCCTCACACGTTTCGTGGCCTTATACGGAGCATCGACTAAGGGCCAAGGGGGGTACCGCATGCGGTCCCCCAGCCCATTTCGGCAGACCCCTCACACGTTTCGTGGCCCAGTAGGGAGCTCCAGGGGGGGTGTACCCCTTGCGGTCCCTCAGCCCGTTTCGGCACGCCCTTCACACGTTTCGTAGCCCCAAGAGGAGCTCCAGCTGAGGATCCAGGGGGGGTTACCGCAGGAGGTCCACCAGCCCATGTCGGCACACCCCTCACACGGTTCATGGCCCCAAAGAAGGCTCCAGCCAGTGCCCCAAGAGGGGGGGTGCGCATGAGGTTTCACAATCGTTTCGACCCCCCCATCGGGCAGGCGCGATATGATGATAGCGTCGACAGCGGCGGCAACGACGGTGATAGTTGCGATAGTAGTCACTATGATGGCGATGACGACGGCAAGGTCAATGACGGTGCCGTTGCTGGTAACGACGATGGCGATGATGATGTCCATGTGCCGATGCTGAAGGTGATTGACCCATGATGGCGGCAATGGCAGCGTAAAAGAACGAAGTTTCGCCATTTGTTTGAACAGCTCGATCTTGAAACGCTGCGACACCAATAATTCAGAAGGGCGTTGGCACGCGGATGTGGCGGCGCGCGCGCGTGGGCTGCACGTTGTCTGATGCATGTTCGTGCACTGGGCGCACATTTGATCGACGCGGGCGCACCGAGTGGTGAAATGATAATGCAGGTTCTGGACGGTATTGCTAAAATCAGTGTGGTTTACGTTCGATTTCAGCAGATGCGCGCGGGACGAGCATCTGCAAGAGTTGCACTGCAAACCCTAAGGCCATACGCTGCTTCTATGTTGGGAAGTTGGGGGACTAGTATGTTTTGTATGATTGCGTGTGGGCTTTGTGTTATTTTTGATACGGGATTCTTGAACAATAGCTGTTAGTTGACAAGGATGGGGGGGGGGGCGGAACCGGCCTGGGGTGCCCAGCTCTGCGCATCCTCAGGGGTGACGGCGGTGCGCAATACAAATGAATCTGATCAGGCTAAAAAATTACACGACACCAGCTTCTCCGTACACAAGTCGAATCTGACTTCTTACATAGCTCTGTATCTGCGCATGGTATGAACGATATGGCTGTCATGGCATGTACTTACGTGGAACATGAAATATGAGGCATAACCACAAGTATATTACAATGTGACCGAGGAGGTCCTAGTAACCCCAGTGGGGGAGGGGAGGTGGCAGAGTCTATCTTCTTCTGACTGGATAAAAGACTTTGAAACAATCGAGGCGGATAAATCCAATGCTCGTATTCAAACCCGGTCTCGAACGAAGATCCCAACCACCCACCCGCAACTCGTTGGAAAAACTCCACTGGCGCAGTCACGCAAAAGCCCTTCTCGTGCAGATCCGTGACTCGGACGGGCGAGTGCTGATGATGACGGTGGTGGCGCTGACGACGAGGGCGGCAACTACAACAACTATGATGATGACAACGTTGATGACGGCAACAAGGGATGATAACGACGACGACGTTAATAGTGACGAAGATGACGGGAACAGTGACGACGATGACAATGATGACGGGAGATGATGATGCTGCGTATGTTGTTAATGGAGGCGACGGCGAAATGAGCGCGCGCAAAGTCAGCAGCTTTGACACTTTCGGTTGAATAGCCACTGGGCTTTCTGACAACCTCTGTGTTGAAATGCTTGGAGTATCGATGGTTTTGGAAAGACTTCGACGAATGCGCGGGGACGCGGGCGTGCGGTCCGCATTGAATTACCTGACAGAATTGGCGGGCGCGTGATGAGTGTCGAATGTTTTCGGCATGCGCGTTCCCGTGTCCCGCGTGGTGTCATTGGATAGAGTGGCCAACCACTAATGGCTTTATTCTGACTCCAGCTAGCGAGCGAACAGCAGTCTGGCAGCTTCCGATCGGACTGGTCCACCATTCCCGTCCCCATGGGCCACTCGCTTACAGGAGGCCTCATTCGTGGGACATGCCCACGGCGAGCTCGGCGTCCCGCTGGGTGTGGGGCTCGTCCTTGGCCTGGCGCGTGTGCTGGAGGCGAAACGTGCAGGGAAAGCTTGGGGCGGAGCTGGGAGACGAGTGGAGCAGGAACCAGTAGCATGTCGGACTTGGACATCGTCGGCTAGGCTCTGCTCAAGTCTTCTACCTCCCTCCGCTGCACCCCGCGTTCCAGCGAAACACTTTCGTCGGCCTCCCGCTTCCCTTCTCAACTTGCCTCCCCGTCCCCATTTCCTTCTCCCCATGTCTCTCCCTCCCCACCCGTCCTTGCGGTGGTTGTGGTGGTGGTCGTCGTAGTCGCTGTCCTCTTCCTATTCCTCCCCATCCTCCTTCTATTTTCACCCTCAAGCCTTCTTTGTTCGTCACTTCCACAAAACGGGACCTTCCACCTGACTAACCCATCCCAGAAAGTCTCCTTCTAGCTGGGACGTCCTGCACTCAACATTGCAAATCATCCGGCAAGACTGGGACGTGCGCACGTCACGCGCGAAACGCTATGATGCCGCCCTCGCCCAAGTGTCGTGCAAAAAAATCCCGAAGGTCGTGCTCCCTCGTCGGCACGGCGCAGGCTGCTTCGGCCTCCAAGCCGAAAAGAAATGGGTCCGCGTGCACACAATGGCTCTTCCCCCCCAGAGCCGCGCACTTTTTCACTCAAAGCTGCGCTCTGGCTCGGGTGCGCCGCATGTTTCTGCCCTCCGCGCTCACCGACAGTTTACGTGCTGAAGGGGCAACAGGGGCAAGCGCGCGAACAACGTAGCGCGCAAAGCCACACGCATGGTGCACCACGTGTCCACCTCTTGTGCGGACTCGCAAGCGAAAGAAGCCGCGTCTCATGTACATGTGGCTCGCTCCGCAAACCCCGAACATAACATTTTTTTCGATACTCGACTTCGGAACTCCATATCCGTTGTACCGCTTTCAAATGCAAAGCTTAGCACTCTAAGGGCTCACGTCTGTGCAAATCTGCACATCTCACCATCAGCGAAAACAGCAACTCCTCAGGAGACAGGAGCCAGCTTTTTGAAATCCTGGGCGTCGATCCACTGCTTGCCAATGCCATTTCCGAAATCGATCAGCGCGTCGCCGTCCTCATCCACCTCCTTGACGGTTCCATTCAGGCCCTTGTTCAATCGCGTGGCTTCCTCGCTTGCCGCTTTGATAACCCATCGAGTTCGTACAACCAGGCCTGGTGTTAGAGTAGGTGAAGCGAGGATGGCATCCCATGCTGCCACCTCATTGGCCACGGCAAACTCGATGTCCTCCGTAGACGCAACTCTGCCTGATGCCTCTTGCTGCCGCAACATGTAATGACCTAGCTCGTCGCAGTTCGGGGTTGTGAGGACAAGGTCGCTTGGGGACGTGATTTCCTCCTCGCCATCCTCGAAGCAGAAGCAATGACCACCCACGGACGGATACAATTTGAGCTCATAATCGCCGCTATCATTATCATCCAAGAGTTCGCAATGGAAATCGTCACATGCATTATGGGCCTCTTGTGTGCTACATGGTATGCTTGCTTGGCCGTCATGCAGGCGACATGGATCCCGGAATTGAACGAGCTCCACGCCCAGACTGGACTGGTTGGCAGGTCGGACCTTCGATTGCAACGGAGTTGTGGAATGCTTGAAAGCATTCCCCTCCCGTCTCGATACAAGCAGGCGGCCCCTTCCATCTGCGGCGACGACGATGGACACACCGAACCTGCTTTCCCAGCATGATTCTGGAACCTTGAAATCAGGGCTGCTCGCATAAAAGGCGATAGACATGCCCTAACACAGATGCGCGTTCGAAGGAGGCAGCATGGGCACAATGGGCGTGGATATCTTCTGTGCGGGACCGCTTGGGAGACGAGCCCGTCTGTGTCTCTTCCATTGATGTGGCGGTCGCCTAAACAAGCAATTCCTAAAACCTCTACTAAAGCCCAAATGGCTTGAGCCACAATGGCTACGGAAACCCTGAACGCAATATGTTGGTACCCCTTCGGGAGGCTGACTTTGCTTCCGCCGGGCTTCCACCAATTGACGCGCCTTCGCTTTACTCCCGCCGCTTTTCGACGGCCTTCCGTCGAGGAAGAGATGACAACTTCTAAGTCAGAAGGAGAAGGCGTTCTCAGCAAGTTCGACAGTCCCCCAGCCTTATGAACATTTTTCTAAGCCTTCCCCGAAGACACAAAAACATGATCGACCCACGAGCCCGGAAAGGAATACGTAACTGTAACGCATGGCAGCGTTTTCAAAGACACCTGATTGGCTTACGGGCAAATGCAATGCTGAGTGTATCGATCTTGATGTACCCTGCCGAGGGCTGTGCGCTCTTCACCTCCCGCAGCCTGCTGGCCAACTTCTTGGGCCGATCGGGGGCGCGCGGGAACGTCGACCATCGGCTGGTGCAGCCGTCGCCCGCGTAGACGAAGAAGGCAGGGAAGTGCTTCAGGAGGTCGCAGGCTTCGGCCGGCGGTTCCAGCAAGTGCGGCAGCAGGAAGGTCGCCGCGCTTCCAGTCGCCCTAGCAGGCAGTCCGAAACTCTTCGCCTCTCCGCTGCTTCGCAGGGCCAGGGCGGCGGCGTTGTTCTGGGCGCCCTGCCTGGGCCCGTGGGCGTTGTCGCCCTTGATTTTCGGCTTCCGCCCCTGCCGGGGCACTTCCTCTGGTCTGCAGTCGCGCTTCTGATCCTGCCTCCCCGAGCCTCGCGGCTCTCCGCCTTGTTTTGCATCGCGGCCCCGGCCGTCCTGCATCCCTTCGCGGCTCTCGCCGTCCTGCCTCCCCACCGGGGCTGCGGCCGTTCTGCCTCCCCTCGCGAGGGCGCGCTGCTCCTCGCCGACGCCGGGGGCCGCTTCTGCGCGCCCTGCCGGCCGCCGTCGCCAGCCCCGTCCTCCTTCTCGCGCTCTCCGTCGAGGCCAGGACTGTCCTCGCCATTCGCGTCGACGTCACCGGCGTCGCCTGAGCCCTCCGCGCCGTCGACAACGCCCGGGCGGCCGCGGGCGCGCCGCGGCGCGGGCCGCCTTGGAGTCCATCTCGGCCGCTGGGCCAGGTGCGGGCGATCGCCCAGGTCGTCGGCAGTGCACCAGTCGTCGCCATACTCGCAGTGGGCCACGTAGTGGCCATCGGGATCAATCAGGAGGCTGGCAGGGGCGATGTCATTCCCTTCGGGCAGGATGGACTGGACGTAGGGGCGCACACGGTATATTTCAACTTCCGAGCTCACCTTCAGAGACGCCTCGGGCAATTTACCCTCGTCGGGGAGGATGCGCAGCCGCCCGTGTCGAGCGTCGTGCCGCGTCGTTCCCATCTCGGATCCGCGTGGGCGGCCAGCGCCTCTGGTTTGGTCAGCAGTCTCCTATCCATTGAGGCGCCGCGGTGGATCAGCCCTCGCATGCTGAATTGCTGCGTGCCGTCGTCGATGAACATGAACTCCTAAGGCGACGTGGCGTCGTCGCCGTCGTCTGCCCCGTCCACGGAAAAAGGGGGCCGCGTCGCGAACTCCTTCTCGCTGCTGGAGAGGGCGCAGTGGAAGAGACAATGGGAACTCGGTGCGTCTGCTATCATGCCTGACAACGCCTCGCTCGCGTCCTCGCATCTTTCCGGCTGGTGCCCAAGATGGCGCTTCGCAGTGAGCGCGTCCGCGACGGCGTGCGGAGACCAGGGGCCAAGGCAGCGGCGCGCGGGTGCCTTGCCGCCGTCGCCCTCCGCTGGTCTCGGCGGCACTCCGCGCGCGCAGTTGCCCGTCGGGTCGCGCAGCTCCTCAAGAGGCTCATCGAACTTACTATCTGCGCCGTCGCCTCCCTCTTGCCCCTCTGAAATCCATCCGCTCTCTCCATGTCTCTATATCGCTCTCACTCTCTGACTGTCTGTCTATCCGTCCGTCCGTCCGTCCGTCTGTCTGTCATTCTGTCCGTCCGTCCGTCTGTTTGTTTGTCTGTCTGTCTGTCTGTGTCTCTCTGTTTGTCTGTCTGGCTCAAGTCGCGCTGGCGCCGCCTCCCACCTCTCTCTCGCGGCATTCCCGCGGGGTTCGCGTATGCGGATGAATCGACATATTTCTGGATCCTGTATTCGCGAACGTTGCCATGGCAGTGGGCGTGCGCTTAGATCCTGGCAGTAGTAGGTGGATTCGCACGGGCATCAATTGGATCGGAGATGATGAGGCTCGCGGCCCTCGCAAATACGAGAGAATACTCAACCAGCGAGCGTCCAGCCGCATGACCAACCTACCCGCGAGCTGCAGGCAGTGCGCGCTTGTCTTCGGCGCCGGCGAGCCTCGGCCTCATGCTCGCGCTGGACATGCGCATCTTGCCTCCAAGGGGGGCTGCCCGCCGGCGTCGACTTCCGGCCCGTCGGCAATGCGACTGCGGAAGAAGGAGCAAGAGGAGAGCTGGCGCGGTCGCGCAGGTCGCGGCCGTTGGCCGGAGGTCAGGCCAGAGTCGCCGTTGCAACCGGCGTGGGGGCCTCGAACTTCCTGGCCCAGACTGGTGGGGCGCACTATCGTGGGACCATGCTATAAAGGTACGAGCGACAACGTTCGTCCGAGTCCCAAATCGCACTCGGAAGGCTGTAGTGGAGGCACGGCGCAAAGCTCCGGAAGTTTTGAAAGCATCTCGGCAGAACGCAGGGGCTGAGGCCTAGTGCTGGCCCAGAGCCAGCGAGGCCGCCGCGAGCGCCGATCTGCCCGAGGGGCGGCTCGCCTGGTTCTAAAGCGGCGCACAGTGGGCGGCGCCGTGGGCTTCTGCGCGCGCTGGCCGCCAGGCCCCGCAGCGCGCCCGATTGCAGGACAGGCGGAGGGCAGCGAGGGTCCACGCGCTCGCGGCTGCAGGCGAGGAGGGCAGGGCGCGCGCGGCAGCCGCCAGCGAGCGGCTCGCCTCCCGCGCCGAAGAAATGCCCCGGAAGGTCAAGGCATGCGCCCCGCCAGCGGCCGCCGGGGCAGCCAGGCCCGCGGCGGCGGCAGCCGGGCCGCCGCCCCCTGACGAGGACCTGCTCCGAGCGGTGCAGACCGAAGTTCGTCGGCTACGACGGCGACCAGAGCGGCTTGCAG